AATATCTTGTACCTGCTTTATGATACATAGTAGTGACCATGCTTTATCAGAGCTACATTTAGTGATATTACTCTAGAATGTTCTCTTTCCAGGTGATGATTAAGATGGTAATAAAAAAATGGTGCCAAGTACCACAATAGCAACAGAACTTTGCTGTTTTCTGGATATTATTCTTTTCTTTGTTTTAGTTTGTTTTTTTTAATGGAATGTGCTGAATGTCCATAATTTTGTTCAGATGACTGCAGAACCTGGAAAAGCTGTTGCTGCTATCGATACATAACATACTATTATTAGTCTTTTTATATAAATATATATATATACACACACACATATATATATATATATATATATGAATTTTGGGAAACTTTAACAGTGCTGCCAACTTTGGAAAAAGTCATCTCAATTTACTGTATTGAGTTGGCATTGTACAGAAATGGACAGCCATATTGGTCTAGAAATGTTAATTTTTTATTTTTATTTTTTATTTTTTCCATGTGTACAGGCATAACACATTGTACTAAATATGTAAGGTCATATCTACATGGGTTTGATTATAGAAACTAATAAAGTATTCTCTAAATAATGGAAAAAAGAATAAGATAAGACTATAAGAGCAAGAAGCAATTTAAATATGTTCAGGGACCATTTTCATCTCCAGAATTAAGGATTATTTTAATATTACATCATTGCCTTTTCTCTTTTACTTTCCTTTTTAATTTTATTTTAGGATTCCATATTTTTAACGTTCATACAGAGATTTATTTAACTGAAATACCGAATAGTTTCTTTGGTATGAAAAACTATAATAGTACACAGGATCCTAATGAGATAATTAATAATGTGAAATAGGAAGTAAAGGACTAAAGGTGTGGGAAAGGTGGGAAGTGTGGGGGAAAGGTAATAAGGGAGAGGAAAAAATATGAGAAACTGAAAAAGTGGAAATAAAGTGTTTGTAAATGGGAAGGGGAGGTGGGGGTGAAGGCAGGGTGGGGACAAGGGGAAAAATGAGAATCAAGACCTATTATGTATAGGTACAGGATCCCAATGATGAATGTAACTGTATTGTATACCTAGATTTTACCAATAATAAATTCGATGAAAAGAAAAAAAATAAAATAAAAATATAAAAACACTTTATTTCCATTTCTTCATTTTCTCATATTTTTTCTTTTCCCTTTCCCCTACCCTTCCCACTTTCCCTAAACCTTTAGCCCTTTTCTTCCTATTTCACATTGTCAGTTATCTCATTCGGATCTTGTGTACTATTATAGTTTTTCACACCAGAGAAACTATGCAGTATTTATACATGCATGACCTATTTGTTTCACTTAGGAGTATACCCTCAATAGGTATCCATTTTCTGATGAATAACTCTAATTTCTCATTCTTTATGGCTGAGTAGTATTCAGTTTCATAGAAAAACCACATCTTCTTTATCCAGTTTCCAACAGATGGGCAGATGGGCTGTTTCCAAGATTTAGCTATTACAAATTGTGCCACTATAAACATTGGTGTGCATATATCTCTGTGGTATGATCCCTTTTTGATATCTCTACATAATTCCATTCTCTTGCACACATTCCTAAAGGCAACTCATGTCAATAGCTGGCTGAGTAGATCTGACTTGATGTCCTCATATCAGTGTGCACTTATGGGTCCCTAAACAAATTCTCAAAAATCTTACCTCAAATTTTCTTAATAATTTTAGTACCAATAAACTGTTGTCTTAAATTCATAGGCTGAAATTAACTAATATTCTTCTAAGCACTCTACAACATACCTGTTGCCCTGAAATGAACTAATTTATATGCACATGTAGATTCAAGGCTTGCTGCAAAGTACTTCTGGCTATTTCAAATTCTTTCACTGTTGTTCAGCTTTGTCAGATGAAAGCACATGCTATAATTTGTTACTTTATTATTACAATGGCATTCTTTCAACATTCTTGTGCCTCTCTTCATTTTGTACAAGTGAAAATTACCAGTCACTATGTGAGACAAGCGTGTTTGTTTCATCTCCAACATATGGTGTATACTAAATGTTACTATCACTTATGCTTTTCCCAATAAAAAGTCAGTCCTATCATATACATCATATTACTCTTAAAGTATAGATTCAAAATTTTCCTGAGTCATGTCTAGTACTAATCCTTGCATCGTTACTAACCATTTCAGCCTTATATATTCATTACCTATTAATATTTGGAGAAGCATACATTAAACATTTATTGCATCCATCATACAATTGTATAAACTAGAAATCAACTCAGATATTAAAAATAAAAACAACCTGCCACACTTTACATACTAGTAAGTGGTGGGGACAAAATTCCAAATTAAATTCTCAAGCTCTGTGTGGGATCCACAAATGTCTCATCAATTCTACATGATTTTTGGAAAAATCATTTCACAATTACATCATTATGAGAGCCTTGTTTTCCTGTCTACAGGCCAGCTATGGCATGTTATGACACAACAACACCTTTGCCTCCAGTCACACCTAAAATGTCGATGGTTCAGTGATGCTGTGCTTCTCCAGGACAAGATTACACCAGATGGAGACATCCTGGGAAGAACAAATCTTCATCTGCAAAGTTCATCATTTTTCTAGAATTTTCCCCACTGCTGCCACTGCCCTTTGAATTACCTATTTCGTTTGTTATTCTCTTCATGACCTCTCACTGCCATGTGTAATCTGTTACATTTGTTTCTCCTGATATATGGAATAAAGGTATGGCAAGTTTGAGAGCTTTCATCTGTGTTGCCCAGAGTAGCACTGATCAGGCCCAAAGCTCAGCTTCTTCTCTAAATCTCATTTTTTTCTATGTTTTCTGTCTAATAAACTAATTCACCTTGTTCTGTCATGGCTCACAGGAGACTACGACTTACTGAAAATGTTCTATTAATGTCCTCTTTTCCTGTCCCCAACACAGAAATCATTCTGTTCCTTAACCATAATAAAGTTTTCAGCAAAGATTGTTATGTCTATACTGTAGTTACATATGGGAAAATTAAACTCTTTTCAGTTTTAGAGTTGAAGAGAAATGTAACCTGAGTTGACTTATCCTATAGAAGTTGAGAAGGATGATTTATAAGAGAGGAGAAGGATGTGGACAGCTTCAAGGAAAGAAGGGAGTGTGGGTTAGGCATGAAATCAAAACTAATCACTATAGATCTTTTCAATCTTTAATCTTTACCTCTTAAATATTCCTAAAAGATTCCTTCCTAAAATGGATGCAGTAGTTTTCACCCTTCTCTCCACAGTCATGGCTCCTAAGTGTAGAGTACAATAAAATGTGTCCTTTCTGGAGGGACTGGAAGAGAACAGACTAGTTGGTTTGTCAAAGGAAATATGTGCCATGATTTGACTGGTAAAATGCTGTGTGTGTGTGTTATCAGATAGTGTCATGTAAGTATTTGTTCACTATTTTTGACCCAACAACTTGTGGTTAATTATACAAAACTGCAGTGCTCCTATTTCCTTTTAAAATAATAATACAGAGGCTTTTACTCAGAAACATTGTACACATGAAATGAAACAAAGTATGAAGAATACATGATTTAGATGCTGCCACTAAGGAGATCTTCAGTTATTGCTTCGTGACCTTATGGTTATTTTCATCTCCCCATTGTCCTCCTCATCTCTACCATAATTCTTTGGGATGCTGAGGTAATAGTTTACTGACAACCATAGTATGTTATCATGTTGTAGATTTCTCTGAGAAGTACTGTCAGTGTGCAAGGAAAGGAACACTTTGACTGAAATTTTGGGTCCTCCATAGTAATAAAGTACATGCATTTCACAGTCCTCTTAGCTGACATTGCTCACAGTCTTATCATCCCATCTTACTGTGCAGACTTTCACATCTTCATGATAGGAAGTAATGTTACCAACAGCCCCATCCTCCGTCCATTACTTTCTGAGTTAGGCTGCATGTTTCCACATTTCTCATCTCCCCCAGGAACAGAAAAAGCTCAAGGACAGCTCACCAAATTGTTATGGAAGATATCAAATTTGAGCTTCCTCAAATTTAGATGAACATGAAAGAGATACAGTTATTTCAAGATGTCAAACAAACACTGGAAGAATTGACAGGTTGTGTCATATCATGTAACCATGAAATCTCAATGCACATATGCAGCTTATAATTATCCATATTGGTCTATATTATTTTAATCTTGAAATTTCTGAAATTCAGTGAAAGTTAAGAAATGAATGTCACAAAGATTTGGGGCTATTTTTTAAGACAGAAGACATATTAAGAATATCATTATCTTTGGTTTTGTATTTTCCTTTTTGAACCAAATCTTCAGCTTTTTAATTTCACTGTTCATTGTGGAAAGATATACTTATCTAAAGGAACCATTTTAAGTGGTTTTAAGTGCAGAGTTTGATTACATATATTTTAATACTTTTTGCAACCATTACACTTAACCACTTCCCCAATTTTTTCACTTTCCCAACTGAAATTTGCACCTGTATGAAGACCAATAATATTACCCCTCAGACCCCTTTGATTCTGTGATGAAATATTGCATAAAATTAAAGATGTTAAAATTCAGTAACATTGAAACCAAGGGTAAACTATTTAAAAACACAATTTCTTTTATTTTTATTTAGTTTCTTGGTACATTCTAGGTATACAGTACAGTTACATTCATTATTGGGATCTTGTACCTTCACATGACAGGCCTTGGTTCTGATTTTTCCCCTTGTCCCTGCTCTCCCTTCACCCCCTCCTCTCCTCCCCATTTACTAACACTTTATTTCCATTTTTTTCATATTTTTTCTTTTCTCTATTCCCTTTCCCCTACCCTTCCCATTTTCCCTACAGCTTTAGCCCTTTTTTTTCCTATTTCACATTGTTAATTATCTCATTAGGATCTTGTGTACTATTATAGTTTTTCACACCAGAGAATCTATTAAATATTTTAAAATAAGTTTTTATTTTCTCTTTTACAACATTTTCTAAACTACTTTCCAAATAAATAGTAAAGGGATTAGATTTTCCAAAGGTAGAGCCTCTTCAGGGTGCTGCTGATGTCCCTGTTCCTCAGGCTGTAGATGAAGGGATTCAGCATAGGGGTGACCAGAGTGTACATCAGTGAGGCCACCATGGCTTCTTTGGAAGTATGTAATGCACTTGAACCAAGATACGTTCCCAGGCTTGTTCCATAAAATAAGCAAACAACTGACAGGTGAGAACCACAGGTAGAAAAGGCTTTGTACCTCCCCTCAGATGATGGGGATTTCAGGATTGCAGAAACAATTTTACAATAGGAGAAAATTATCCCTGACATAGGAAAACAACCAAATAGGATACCAATCATATATGTGACTATGTTTTTCATTAATATATCAGAACATGAAAGGTCATAGAGTTGAGGAGGGTTACAAAAGAAACTAGCAATTTCCACATCTTTGAAACAGGAAATTCGTAAGGCAACTAAATAGTGAATCTGAGAATCCAAAAGGCTAACTAAGACTGACAGCAAAACTAATAAGACACAGCGGTGAGGGTTCATAATGACTGCATAATGCAGGGGTTGGCAAATGGCCACAAAACGATCATAGGCCATCACGGTAAGAAGCATGTCATCTACACATGCAAAAAAGATAAAAAGAGAAACCTGTGAAAGACAGCCCTCATAGGAGATGACCCTGCTGTTAGTTGAGATGTCCACAATCAACTTTGGAACTGTAGTGGAGGTGAAACAGATGTCAGCCAAGGACAGGTTGGAGAGGAAGAAGTACATAAGGGTGTGGAGGTGGACATCAGATGTAACAGCCAGGATGATGAGCAGGTTCCCGAGCACTGTGACCAGGTACATAGAAACAGTCCAAAAAGAATGGGCTGCAGGTCTGAGTCCTCTGAGAAGTGCATGAGGTAGAACTCTGAGATATGTGTTAGATTATGTCCTTTCATGTTGTTTGAGCACATTTAAATAAATTTCTCTGGAAAAAATGGAACAAAATATATCGTACAATGATCTGCAAATATTCTGAGTTCAAATATCCATAAGCAAAGAATTCCCACAAGAGATCCATGACCTTCAGCAGCATTGCTCTATTGTGAACAAACTCCACCATGGAGGACTCACTGTTGGGTGGTTTGTTTTCCACTCCACTTTACTTTACTTGTCCTCTAATGGACAGGGTTATCAGACCAAGGACACAGAATATTGAAGTTCTTTATCATAGTGAAATGCAGGAAACCTTTTCCAAAAAGTACAGAGGGTAGTTAAGCCATCCACCTTTAAGAAAATATGATTCTATTGGAAGAAAACTGGTAATTATTGAAATATTCCACATTTTATACCACAAAATACTACAAATTACCTTGAGTAGGTCATCTACAAGTACTATAAAATTTAGGACTACATTATCTCAAAATTAAATTCAAGTTAATTCTCTTCCATCAGAATATTTTGTTTTGAGCCATTGTGTAGAAAATGATGAATTTTTCATTATTCTTGGTTTCTTTTTCTTATTTTGTCTTTTAAGTATGTAAGCACTTACCCAGCCATTGTATACAAATTGTATGTAAATTTTGTTTGTGTATAAATTATTCAATATAAAACTTTTATCTTTGCATTTGTTGTACTCAAATTTATATATCTCAGGTTCCAATACATGCACATAATCTTTGGACATAATCACCACCAATATAGATTGGTGTACACTGTATATAACAATAAAAATGACAAATGATAAAAAGCACCTTTGGGGCCGAGGAGTAAGCTCAGCAGTTCGGTAGCCTGCCTTGCAAGTGCAAGGACCTGAGCTCAATCCCCAGTACAAACCCCCCCACAAAAAAGCACCTTTGCCTTTTAAATTTTACACAATTGTATTTCACCATAAAATATCAATGAACTATCTGCTATATAAGACACCTCTTCCCTGACTCTAGTCTACCATAGCCTGGTAATATGCATGACTGCTATTCTGATCATAAGACTTCTTATATCCAGTTGATAACATTGGAAACAAAGAAACTCCAAAAGCCCTGGCTGAGACCCAGCCTTCCTATTTGTAAGTAACAGATTTCAGTCGAATTTTTCCTATTTCAGCTATGTGATGAAAACTGAGATCTATATTTTCATCTAGCCATTCTGTTATTTAATTTGGGAAATCCCAAAATAATACATGAAATAATGTAAGCACACCTTAAAACACAGCTGCAAGAGAAAAAGGTACTTGAACTCTTGTAAACACATGCAAATAATATACTTCTCCATTTCTGTATAATGGGGATAAGAATTACCTACCCTATGTAGGTACTGTTAGAAAATACTTTATAAATCATTTAATTCACATCACTGTTGATTCTAATTTAGGCATATATTTATCTGGATATATTGTTATATATCCAAATACTCTAGGCTTAGTGTAATATATTAATAAAAAAGTAGATTTCTAATTTTTGAGTTCCTTTCTTAAATTAAAGTTGAGAACCACTGTCTGAAGATATTCACTGGCATTTGGAAAATCTCCCATTCATATTATCTTTATAGATATTAGCATATAAATATAGAATTCTATTTTCATCCTCATTAGTATTCCTTAGATGTCTGAACAAATACCTAAAACTTAGAGTACTTCCTACAATTTCTTTCTCTCCTGTCCTCAAAAGAATCTGTTGTCATGATTTTTATGGGTAGATTTCTGTGTCAATGTTTCCAGGTCAACACTTATTTATGAATCCACAAGCAATTTTCTTAAAAATTTATTTAAAAGAGGGGCCAGTGATGTAGCTCAGTGGTGCTGTCACCTTCCTCACAAGGACAATACCTGAGTTCAATCCTCAGGACCCCCCAAAGAAAGAGCCTGTCTTGCAGAGAATACCTCCCCTCGAGAACACCCTTCTCACAAAAGAGTTGCTTCATTGCTCTCCAGAGAAGAGAAGCATAAGAGGAAGTGCCTGGCGCAGAGACTGATTCCCACTTCATGGATGTGAAGCACCCAGGACACCATAAAAGCACCATAAAAGTCATGCATAGATGTAGGCTACTCCACTCTCCTCTTCTAGGCTACAGGAAGAAAAGCAAGGCTCACAGAATGATCCTCCTTCAGGAGGAAGGAAGCAGCACTCACAGTGCCCTGCTTCAAGATGATTGGGAAACCAACCAATGAACACATTTTGGATAAAAAACTACCTGAAAGGGACCTAAAACTCATCCAAATAGAGTGTTACAGAACATCTACTGCCCCCAAACAGACTAGGTTGTATCCATATGTAGTGGTTTTAGGTCTTCAACCAATTTGCTGCCTTATCAGAGAGGAATGAGATTTAGGGAAGAAGAGAGAGGCCTCGTTTACCTCGAAAGTTAATTATTCTGATAATATTTTCAAAGTTCTTGTGCTCCTTTCCCTGTCACTCATGGTAAAAATTGTTATATAATATATTGCTGTGATATTTTTCTGATTTCCAACAAATATGCACAGAAATTTTCAAATTTTGGCAAGATAGGTGACTCATTTTACCTACATCCTCTTATTCCTCATATACACCTTCAAGATATGCCTGACATCTTTCCAGTAATGATCTCTGTATGACACCACGAAAAGAAATTTCATCATCACGCGAGGAATAACATTTCCATTTCCCTTCAGTTTTGGAGCCTGTGCCAAGGGATAGCACTGAAGCAATGTGCATGTTAGACCTGTGTCACTGACCTGTTAATGAAGGCAGAATGTGTGTGAATCTCTCTTCCTCTCTGTGCTCATAAGCTAGAGGAAAATAAGGAGAATAACACGTATCCATATGTGTAGCAACTAAAGAAACTTATAACTTAATAATTTAGCAATTGTGAGATTTCTTAATCTCAATTGCCTTAATCTCAATTGCATTAATTTGTGCTGTAACCTTTACAATTTCCTCTCTTGTGTGGGCCTTAGGACTTGATCTGTTCTTTTCCTAGAAGTTTGTGGTTCAATATTAGGCTGTTTATTTGAGTTTGCTCTGTTTTCTTGATGTGAGAATTCACTGTTATAAATTTTCCTTATAGGGATGCTTTCATTGCTTCCCATAAGGGAGGTTTTCCTTTTAAAATAAATATACAAACATAAGCAAGTAGGAAGTGCGTTAAGTATAGTAAACTATATTTCAATGGAATTGGAGCCAGAAATGGTATGACGTGTTTTTTTTTTTAATATAAGGTTGAAGCATACAGTCACCAGCTCCATCTTGGAAACAGCCTATTTGCCCATCCGTTGGAAACTGGATAAAGAAGTTGTGGTTTTTCTATAAAATGGAATATTACTCAGCCATAAAGAGCGAGAGAATAGATTCATTCATAGGAAAATGGATACGTATTGAAGATATACTCCTAAGTGAAATAAATAAGTCACACATGTGTAAATACCAAATAGTTTCCCTGGTGTGAATATTCTGCAACAATGCATAAGATTCTAATAAGATTACTGACATTTAGAAATTTGAAGAAAGGAGCTAAAGGTGTAGGGAAGGTGTGATGCGTAGGGGAAGAACAAAAAGGGAAAAGAAAAAAATGTGAGAGAATGAAAAGATGAAAATAAAGTGTTTGTAGATGGGGAGGGGAGGAGGGGGTGAAGGGAGGACAGAGGTAAGGAGAAAAAATGAGAATCAAGACTTGCCATGTAAAGGTACATGATCCCAACAATGAATGTAACTGTACTGTATCCCTATAATGTACCAATAAACTCAATAAAATTTTAAAAAACACATGAATATTTCTCTTGTGTTTATTTTTAAGTAACTTATGGAGATACAATTAAGTGGATTATAGTGTCCATGTGTCCATTACACAGAAAAAACAACAGCAAGATTGAAATAATAATTTTTTGCCCCCGCTACAACCAAGATCATAAAATTTCTATTCCTTATAACTGATATTTTTCATATATATTCCCTCACATCTGATCACCAAAAAATCATACTTCTCAGGATAAGAAAATAATATTTAGTATCATTCTCATATCAGTGAGATTCCTTTTGCACTTACTGGGTGATGCTGTTTCTCTGCTGGGTCATAGCCAATGAGAAGAGATTCAAATACCTTCTTATATCTGCTGTCCAGTGAAGGCTCAATTTCTGTTCTTGGTATTGAAATTAACACAAAGACACATATAAGCTTAATAATACAGACAATAGAGTTTGGGACATAGGTATGGGGCTAAACACAGGAATGGAGTCACTAAAGGGCTTGAAGCTAATTATTGATGAGTTTGTGACCTTGGGGGCTCAATGCTTAGAGCCCATAATTAGCCAGATTGGTCCATGCTGTCCCAGTCTCTAAGGATTTCTCTACTCTAATGGAAAAAGGAGACAAAAGAAATACAAATGTCCACAAGATATTTGGGGTTCTTCAACTAGTCAGAGAAAGCTAGTTCATCCTAATCACTTTTGCCATTTATATATACTTCTAAAATGGTGATTTGCCTTATTTCATTTTTGAAATAAAATACGTATAACAAAAGTACACTTTTAACTATGATTGGTATACACATTAATATTGTTGTGAGTCACTCAACATATGTCTTCAAGAATTTTTCATTTGCCAAACTGAAAAATTTATGTTCATCTTTAAATTCAGTCTTTGTCCTCTCAGCATTATATTACAAAATTAAAGCCATGGAATTATACTAACATAACAAAAAATGCCAGAGGTCCTGGCATTCACTGTTCTTCTCTAGTCTCCACGGGGTGCTTATATTTACTTTGTTACTCAGGCTGTGAGTGATTGAACACAGGGGTGGCCTTCTACACATCACTGTGGCTGTCATGCTTCTGGTAAAATTTAAAAGCTGAGAAAGTATATTGTCCAACATTTGTTCCACAAAACATGCAAGTAACTGACACTCAGGACTCAAAAGTAGAGGAAAATATAATTTTCTATTAAATTATGATTT